ATATGTAGATAAGTACCCGACTCCTGGCATCCCCTCCAACATGTTACTGAATATTTCCTATCTGTTTGGTTTAGTCCTATAGGTGTCAGATACCATCTCCAGATCAATTTAAAATAATTTTCCTTTATCCTTACTGACATAGTTTTTAAAATATGCGTATCCCATATCTTACCCCAACTCTGATTACTTATTTGTGTTAAATCATAATCCCATACTGATTTGAGATAATCTTGTTGATCTTCAATTTCTAATAATATAAATTTCACTTGTTTCACCTTTAATAACTATATTGTCTTCTTTGTCTTCTCTCTCTAAAATCATCTTTTCAAATCTTGTGTAACTTCTACATTCTTTATTTTCATTTATCCACTCCCTAATCCAGTTCTCTAATTGTAGACAATTAAGCCACGTTATCTTTCTTCCCCTTAACACCTCTCTTATTCTATCTTTACTATTCATTTATTTCACCCAATCCTTTATTCAAAATATTTTCTTCTCCCTTAATTCCTTTTCCAATTCCTTCTTTAAATTTTGCCCAAATCCTTAAAATAGTTTTTAAAAAGGGGTTCTCAATCCCATCCAGCCATTTCTTAGTTAGTTTATTAAAAAATACATTTTCCAATTTCCATTCCACTTCTTGCGTTTCCATCTCTAACTAGTTCAACTCTCCTTGTCCTACCATACCATCTATAATATAACTTATTTGATTAGCCATATAGTAAAATCTTAAATTTGGAAGCCTCAGTCCTCGAACTTTTTGAGACTTATACCATCTATTTTTATTCACTCTTGCTTTCTTGTCCCCATTACAAAGATTATTAAACATGGTTTACCAACTCTTCATCTCTGTCTCTGATACCTTAATTGGTAACATCTTAAATAAAAAATTGATTCTAGGTAAAATCTTCATTTTCATAATTGCTATTCTGCCAAACCATGATAATTTAATTTTCCTATAATCCTCCAACTTTTTAATCTCTTGCCTTAATTTATAAAAATTTTCCATTTCTAAATTATCTAGCTCTCTTGTTATATTTCTTCCTAAAAATTTATCAAATTCTTTAACTTAATATTTATTTTTTTATTATTCATAAACCATTGCTCTCTCCTCTTGCTGTAATTAAATAGCATCATTTCTGATTTGGACCAATTTATTTCCAGCCCTGTCATTTCCTCAAATTCTCTCAAGTGTCCTTCTATTCCCTCCAATGACTCCAAGGGGTTTTCAATAGTTAATAAAGTATCATCTGCAAACAAGCTTACTTTAATTTTCCTTTTGTTCCCAATCCCTTTAATGCTTTCATACACAAGTTTCTATTATTATTTTTAGAGCTGGCCATTCCACACAATCAAAAGCCTTAAATATGTCAAAGCTATTAGACCTGCTTTCAGTCTGTTTTTATTTATTGTATTTATTATGTTCAACACT